TATCATTGACTAGTTTGTTTCCTGTCCAATTTGGAACAAAGCAATGCTGGATTTGGTGCAGGGCAATGAATCAGCCTAAATGGATAAAGTGCATGTGGTGCAACACTTGACTAAATTTGATCCTGAAACTACAAGGTTTAGAAGAGTAAGAAAAAAAATCTAAAGTGAAAGAGGGCTACCTTCAGGGAAATGACTTGGGATCTTTCCAGAAAAATTAACCTAAGGTTGATAGAAAAGCTACATCAGAACAATGGGGGGTCATTCTAGTGACAATGTGATCAATACAGACTGCATACATTCCAACAAATATGGGGGAAACAAAAGCCAGGCTCCTTGGATGAAGAGGGAGATAGAGTATATTGTCATGGATAGAATTTGTGTTTTTTTATTGCCTGTTATCAGTGTTCTTGGGTAAATGCTCTTTACTTTGAAGCATTTTCACATTTGTTAGCCTGTGTTTACACTCACTAGGACCATAAAAACAGCCATAAAACTATAAATCCTTGAAGGAGCCATGTGGATATTCTTCCTTTTTGAGAAAGTGCTTTTGTATATGACAAGAGCATTTTCATACCCTCGGTGATTGTCCCAATAGAGAGTGATTTCTTTGTTTTAGACGAGTTTTATAGTTTAATTTCATTAATCAAACTACTGTACATAACATAAGACAGTTCTAAAATTGGAATGTGTAGTAAATAGATTGTTTTGATAAGTTCCTTGACTTAACTTGTGCTGTGCTATGCTGATCTGAAGCTATTATAAAGTATTGTCAGCTTAATTAAATCAGTTGTGAACATGATGCACTGGGAATGCAAAGGAAGCACAATATCTTTTGTCTCTGTGTAAGATTTAGGATTCACTTTAATTGTAAGGCATAAGTCAATTGCAATCATATGTATATTCTAATTAACATGTTCAGGGATTTTATAACATACCTCTGAAACAGATGGGACTTCAACCAAGGCTTCCTGGCTCTGAGGTAGGCACACTACCACTGTGCCATAAGGGCCTTCAATTGCAACTATAAGCTGAGTTGACAGAATCGACTTAAAAGGTCAAAGTGTCTTGATATGTTACAAGACCAATTCAGGTACAAGTGTGTTTTTCAAATTCTACAGAATTGATTAAGTTTATCAAGATATGCGGAAAGGATATGATATTCAATAAAAGCAGTGCATTCAGTCAATTTCTTACTGCCTGTGACCTGTGTTCTTTGGTAAAAGCTCCTTACCTCAATGCAATTTCATATTTGTTAGCCTGTGTTTCTACATTAGCTTGGGCCATAAAAAACAGAAATAAAACTATAAATCATTCACCTTGCCTTGACTAGGCCATGGGGATATTCTTCCTTTTTGCGAAAATATTTTTCCATTTAAGCGTAACCAACAGAATATAACTTAAGTCCTCACTTCCTTAATCAGATCAAACTTATTCAAAAGTAACAGACACTTGGATTTGATCTTGTTTTCTGCCTGGGTATGTAGGGAATGCAGAAAGGAATAATGGGTGTGGAGGATAATATCATAGCTACAGGGTCTGACTATTTTCCCTCTCCTCATTGGTTATGGATATATGATTAAGTTAAAGATTGAAATGTGCCCATATTCCATATGCAACTGATTAAGATAAAATTCAATGCTCTACCCAGACATTCAATTAAATCAATGCAGCAACTTTTTTGCTGAGGCAAACTTTCTTCACAGAAGATTTATTTTTCCCAAAAGGAAACTGTACATCTGAGGGTGCCACTACATTATTGTGACTTTATCCCAAGGAGACACAAGCTATGCTTTGTTCCCTCTTTTCCCAAAACAGAAGTCATATCCTTGCTGCATCTCTTCGAAAAAGGGTCTACAAAGTTGAATCAACAAAAGCTAGTTTTCTTTTCCTAGACTAGGTTTACTTCAAAATAAAACGATCTTTGACTTGATTTCAACGAGATTTGGCTGGCAAGAGTAAAAGCCCTAATGCTAAGGCACATCTTCAAATAACATTTGGAGCAGCATCTATTGAACTATTGTTTTGCTGAGTGTGCCACTCCCATTATTAGCATAAGGATCCATGAATAAATTCTCATTGACAGCCTTCCATCCATGGAAGATGATGAACAGACAGCAAACAAATTGATTTCATAAGAGTGCCCACATGTTTGCTGGTGGCAGAAGAGGCCAATCCTTGAGATTCCTGTCTTACATTAAGCAACTAAATATTACTGTAGTTTCAGAGATAGTAGGAACTGCAGATGCTGGTCTAGGCCCGAAACGTCAGCCTTCCTGCTCCTCTGATGCTGCTTGGCCTGCTGTGTTCATCCAGCTCTACACCTTGTTATCAGAAGGGTCTAGGCCCGAAACGTCAGCCTTCCTGCTCCTCTGATGCTGCTTGGCCTGCTGTGTTCATCCAGCTCTACACCTTGTTATCTTAAATATTACTGTAGGTTGTTTTTAAGCTTTGGTGTCTCTTGACAAGCTGATGTAAGAACCATTGATCATCATAGTACCATACATAAGTTGTTGCCATTTTCCACTATTGTCAGCTAGTGACTTCCAGGTGCAATACCCTAGATCTTTAAGGTCATACTGGTAAGCATCCTTGATGCGGAGTTTTGAACATCCTGCTGGTTTACTGGCACCACATATCTCACCATAGAGAAAGTCTTTGGTTATGCAACCAACTTCCACATTCTGAATTTGCCCAGCAAACCAAAAAAGTTGCCGATGGTTGATGTGTGCTGCAAACCTGCAAAATGTTTTTGAGATGATTGCTATGTTGATGATTCAGCTGCAAGTGGTCCATATTTCACAGCCATAAAGCATTGTCCTGAGACACATCATTATGTAAATATACAAACTTTGTATTGTTACTGAAGATTCAATCAATTTTCTTTTCTGAGAATTGAGCTGAGTCTCCAATCTGGGTTATAATTAGCATAGACAGAAAACTCTCCCAATAAATTGCAAACTTTCCAGGATGAGGTTGTCCAGGAACTACTGGAATTAAAAAGCACCTGATTTCAGAAAATTAATTTGCTTTTCATTATGTTTCCAAATTAAGAAATTCCAAATTTTAATTTGGAAACATAATGAAAAGCAAATTAATTTTCTGAAATCAGGTGCTTTTTAATTCCAGTAGTTCCTGGACAACCTCATCCTGGAAAGTTTGCAATTTATTGGGAGAGTTTTCTGTCTATGCTAATTATAACCCAGATTGGAGACTCAGCTCAATTCTCAGAAAAGAAAATTGATTGAATCTTCAGTAACAATACAAATTTGGAATTTCTAACTTCCAAAGTTGAAGCAAGACTGAGTCTATTGGTCTTTAATTCAGTAATTTGGGGAAACATAAATGTGGGATAGGATGGAGTGAATGGAGAAAGATGCATATTTTGTCCACACTGTCATTAATTTCTTCTTGACCTTCAATCAGCAAACATTAGCATTGTAAAGATAGCAATCCACCATCTGCTGAAACAATTCTCTGAAATAATAATATTCAGCTGTGAAAACAATGGCATTTGGATTTTGCATTAAATCTCAACCTCTCAAAGAATTATTTCTGGATGTAAAATTATGAATTATACATTTCAACATGTCCTCATTTTATTTGGCTGCCCATATGCTTGAGATAAATGACAACATTGTTTCACAATTGTACTTCCACAATGATGCTGAAGGTTTATGAGCTGCATTAATAATAGTCCAATTTCTTTAAGAAGGCTGCTCATATTCAACGGCTAACAAACCAATCTTTGTAGTTCAGTCATTTTTAAAACTTAGTTTTTGTTCTACTCCTGGAAACATTCACTTGCATCAGAATATGGCTAAACATCACAGTCAATGTGAAAACCGAAAGAACTGCGGATGCTGTAAATCAGGAACAAAAATAAAGTTGTGGGAAAAGCTCAGCAGGTCTGGCAGCATCTGTGAAGGAAAAAACAGAGTTAACATTTCGGGTCCGGTGACCCTTCCTCAGAACAGTAGATGTGAAGTTACTTGCCCGTGGCATTTTCTTGAGGTATTAATTTAGGCAATGAAATTAAATAAGATATTGTTTGAACAAGTGGGACATCATGACAATATTTATTTAACAGGCAAATGGGTGGACATACATATATACACAAGTACTTCACACTAGAACTCATGAAATATTAAAGAGTGTAAGCCTTTTTCTGCCCCTATGATGGTAACACACAATTAAACAGCACTGCTTCAATTGCTACCAGATAAAAATGAAGGTATTTAAATGAAAATCTTCCACTTGGTATGGATGAGGGTGATGAACATTGGATGATGCTTTATCCAGTGTCCAACACTAAATTAATTGCAAGACAGCGTTATTGGGATAACTCTTTGTCTTGGTGTGTTATTGGCAAGCTGATGTTTTGCTTATCAGCTGGAAGTCTGATCAATTATATTAGAGTACTAGAGAAGCTCAATACATCTGGCAGCAACTGTGGAGAGAGAAATAGAGTTAATATTTCGAGTCAGAAGAAAGAGGATGCTGCTTGCAAGAGTTGGAAATCCAACACACTGGGCACCCACCTGACAATCCTTTAAAAACAAGATTTTCTTTTCAAAAGTGAGGACAGTTCATTAGTGAGGCGGTAAGCAACATGATATTGATCGTCCAATACAATTATGGAGGTGCAATTAAGAAACAAGAGGATTGTCTCTGTTGCCAGTGCTGAGCCCTGGCAATTTAACCAGATAGGGTGGAGAGGGCTGATTGAATGCCAACCAATGATTTCAGTGAAATGGTAAACAATAGGATTGTTAAGAGGCCAATATGACTATTGTTCGTACACCGGTCAGAAATGTACAATTTAATTGCTTGCTTTTCAATATTTGCTATTAGTGTTGGAATATTGGTATTTCTATGTGGCTTTGCATCATACACCAGGAAGACAAGATTCATGCTAACATAATGTCAAATCAAAAATTGAAATTTCCTCATTTTTAATTGATCTTGTGTTCTTATTTCTGTTTCTTGTTCCTTTGTTACAGGATAATATTTCCCTCAGCAGTGAAACTCTTCATTATGTATCTGTTCAAGTCAAAAATCCTTCAAAGAGTAAACAAAAACAGGAATTGAAAAGACCAGAGCAGGACCAGGCAACGAAATATGCCATTCTAAAGGTCAAAGATAAAAATAATCAATTCTACAAAGATGGTGGTAGATTACTCCACCGTCAACATTTGCCCCACATCAAACACATGGCAAGCTGTTGACTACAAAGCAACCACATATGCTTCACTTAAGAAATAAACATTTCATATCATTTTATATGATTCGCTTTCTCAAGGGCAATTAAGGGTGCCAACAAATGCTGACCTTGCCATCAACTCTCACATCTTCCAAAAATGTGACTTGGGCGAAGTATGATTTTGCAATTGCAAATGCATAAACAAATGTAACTTTAAAGTGGCTCCAGTATCTCAAGTTGGATGTTGACATTAATTGTTTCGTTAAACTAAAATTAAATCAACTAATAATTGCTTGAATGATTCAGGTATACAGTGATATTTGCTAATTTTTTTTTCATTAATGAATAAAGTCTCCTAATAGTTTGATGTAATATATTAAGTTGCATTATTCTGTGATCTTTTGATTGATTGCAATTGTGTCTTTTTGTTGAAAGAAATTTCCAAAACTCTTTGTTTATGGGATATGGGCACTATTGGTAAGGCCATCAGTTTTTATCTGTCCTTACTTGTCTTTTATTTTTGTATACATAGAACAACAGAGTATGCCAGCTGTAGCCTTTCTATTATTTCACGGAGCTTCACCGTTACATTTTATAACATATGCGTATAGTTATCTGGTAAGAATCCGTTAGCTTTTCACTTGGCTGTTTGAGTTAGTTTTTAACATTTTGTCAATGTAAACCTTTCAATTCCTCAACTTTTCTAAATCACCAAGCTTTATCCCATTCGTGCATTTATTTTTATTGGTATACAAAAAGTCGTATTTATATTAACTACAGAAGGTAATCATAAACTTGGTAACATGATAAGATCGTACTTGCCACTCTGGCCTTTTGCATAAGATGTTGTTGTAAGTTAGAGACCCAAAAAATGCTTTCCAGTGGCCATTTGTGACCTTTATGAACAAGGAAAGCCAACTGTGCTGGAATCTTATGGAGACCTGAACAACGTGGTTTGTGGTCAGATTTGTGGCAGAACCACATATGAAGTTCATTGAGGCCCAAGTTGACATTGGGAATAATACATTGCATTTCTGATGCAACTGTTAGGCACTGAGGCAAATTTATTGGCAGCAACGAGATGTCTATTGAAGAGATTATTACATGTTAAATAGTTTATTAATTGCACATCTCACCTTATTGAAAAAATTGGATTAATAACAGGTGACAAAGCATGTTGGTGCAGGGTTGTGGTTTGGACTGGAGTCCTGTGACCTCCAGTGTTCCACAGGGATCTGTGCTGGGTCCACTTTTGTTTGTCATTTATATAAATAATTTAGATGGGTATTTAGAAGGTATGGTTAGTAAGTTTGCGGATGACACCAAAATTGGTAGTATAATGGACACTGAAGAAGGTTATCTGAGATTACAAAGAGATCTTGATCAATTAGGTCAATGGGTTAAAGAATAGCAAATGGAGTTTAATTTGGACAAATGAGAGGTATTTCATTTTGATGAAAGAAACAAGGATAGTACTTATACAGTTAAAAGTGGGGCCTTCCGTAGTGTTGTAGAACAGAGAGACCTCGGGGTTCAGGTTGTAATTCTTTGAAGTTTGCGTCACAAATAGATAGGCTGGTTAAGAAGGCACTTAGCATAATTGTCGTCATTGCTGAGACCTTTGAGTGTAGGAGTTGGGACGCTATGTTGAGGTTGTTCAAAACATTGGTGAGGCCTATTCTGGAGTACTGTGTCCAGTTCTGGTCGCCATGCTATAGGAAGGATATTATTAAATTGGAGGTGATTCAGAAGAGATTTACTGGGAAGTTGCTGGGAATGGAGGGTTTAAGTTCTAAGGAGAGGTTGGATAAGCTGGGACATTTTTCGCTGGAATATAGGACCTTGAGGGGTGACCTTATGGAGATTTATAAAATAATGAGAGGTATGGATAAGGTGAATGGCAGGTGTCTTTTCCCTTGGGATGGGGAATTCAAGACTAGGGGGCATAATTTTAAGCTGAGAGGAGATAGATTTAAAAAAGATGTGAGGGGCATTTTTGTATAACACAGAGAATGGTTTGTTTGTGGAATGAACTTCCAGAGGAAGCGGTGGATGCAGGTACAATTACAACATTTAAAAGAGCTTTGGATAAGGATATGAATAAGAAATGTTGGCAGGATATGGGCCAAGAGCAGGCAGTTGGGATTAATTTAGTTTGGGATTATTGTTGTCAGGGACTGTTTGGAGCAAAAGGTCTGTTTCTGTGCTGTATGGCTCTATGACTCTCTGATTTATACGCAGCTATCTATCTTACCAAAAAGGCCAAACAAACTAGAATCTTGAACCAAACAATCTTGAATTTTTAAAATGGAAGTTCGCATTGGTACTGGGTAACTTCACCTTGCCACTGACTGCTCAGCCAGAAATATTACCTCAGGGCATAATTCCTGGGCACCAGTCACATGTACCCCTTGTTCACATACATTGGCATCTGATATTTGCCAATGCATCAGAATTCTCATGGCAGCTCTCTGATCCACTTTCGTGATGCTTAGGAAGCACTGACTTGCACTGGACGGCGCACCAGCAACGAGATTTGAAAAGTTGCTGCAAGGACACTTTCTGTGCAAGGACAGGCACCCAGCTCACAGCCATGTTGATCTTTAAGGGGAAGCCATCTTTAAGCCACCCTTTTACTCCTTATCTGCCATAAGGAGTATCCACTTTTTGCTCTTCTGATTTCCCTCTTAAGTGTGCTTTTTATAGTCATTTGGGAATCACTTGAGCCTGATAACTTAAACCCCATATATGCCTTCTTCTTCTTCCTGACCAGAGCCTCAATATCCCTCGTCAACCAGGGGTCCCTAAACCTGCCAGCTTTTTCCTTCACCTGAACAGGGACACACTGTCCCAGGACTCATAAGGAGGAGGTGTTAGCAATTCTGGAAGGTGTGAAAATAGATA